GTGGCTGGCACGTGGAGTGCCATGAAGGGGCAAGGCGAGGGCTGAGAGAGACACATGGGGCCTCGAGAGCACAAGGGACTTCTGGGTGGGTGGAGGTTGCTGGGCCTCTTGGAGGGGAACATTTGTCTTCTCCCAGTGGTTCGTGTGTGGACAGACTGCGGAGGATGGAGGGCTGGCAGCAGGAGTGCCCAGTGCTCTGGGCAGTGGCAAGGTGGGATGTGGTGGCAACCTGCACCAAGGACGTGGAGCAGTTGACGCTGGGCGACTCCAGGCCTGGCCCCAGCCACAGGCAAGGTTGGAGGCTGCCATTTCTTTCAGAGGCAAAAGGCAGCCGAGGAGGCAAACGGCGGAATCAGGATCCACTTTGCACAGGAGGTGGGGAAGCCTTCGATGCGAGGATTGCCAAGAACAGGGTCGGGTGAGGGCTGAAGGGCGTGAGTTGGCATTTCAGTCCCTGGGTTGGAGGGGAGGGCCCCGGACGCGGCTGGCTGGGTGTGATGGCTGCAAGGACACCACGCACGGACACACCATAGACATACACAGGCACACGGAGGACAACACGATGGACACACACAGACACGGTAGACACACCGCAGGGATCTATCTCCCTGGCGCCGTCGACATGGAGCAGCTGGGGACGCTCAGGAGGGAGACGGGTCCAGCTCCACCCAGGGTCCCCTGCTGGTGGAGGGACCGGGACTTGGAGCCTCAGTCTCCCCATCCACACGCTGCGGTTTCAGGGCACCCAGCATCGGGACCCGGCTGGAGCCACTCAGGCCAGGCCAGGAAGACAGAGGCCATGTAGAAAGCCCTTCCGAACAGTGCCAGGACCCCGCTGCCCCCACCCCTGCCCCTTGCCCTGCTCGGGGTCCCCAGGCTGAAGCAGAGCTTGGCGCGGTGCTGTTTGCTGGATTACAGGCGCCCAGCTGACCTGTTTTCTTCAGCTGCTGCGATTTCACTGACCTTCAGGCTCCTGACCGCTCCCCCTGCCCAACCACTCAGGCAGAAGAGCTCTGAGACCACAGCAGACGTCTGGCCTACGGGGGTGCGGGGGACTTCCAGAAAACACACACAGAACGGCTCAAGCCGCCAGAGGTGAGAGCTGGGATTCAACTGAACCCCAGGCTCCAGGAGATTCTGGACCTGACAGAGCAGAACGCCCAGCACCGTGGATGGGAAGACGTGGCGGCTCTGCCAGGCAGCCCACAGGTGGGCTGAGTGCAGCTCTGAGCCTGGAGGGGCCGAATCTGAGACTCATGGGCTGGGCTCAAGTGGACAGATGTCTCCAGCCCAGAGCCTGGAAGGCAGCACAGGCACATTCTGCCCCAAGAAGGGACACATGTCAGTGGGGCTCCTGCCCCTGAGCCAGAGCCACGTCCTCACCCACTGCCTTGCCCTTCCACCTCCACATCAGCAGCTCCCGACACAACAGCCCAGGCTGCAGGGGTGGGGAAGCTCACGGCCTCTGATGCCCGGCCCCGCCCCAACGCGGGTCCTGCTGAGCCAAGCCGGGCAGCCCCAGAACTGACTGGTGATACATGAACACAGCTGGGAGCGGACCACAGAGATGGTCGTGTGAGGCAGATCACTGTGGGCAGATGGGGCTGGCCGACTGAGCGCTGGAGCAGGGGGCACCGACCTGGGCCTATGCAGGTGCCGGGCACAAAGAGGGGGGCGCGAGCAGCAGGGAAGAGGCCGGCCACGCGGGGAGGGGTCTCAGGGCAGGTGGGTCTGGGGCCCGCCCCGAGGTCCTGGCCCGTAACTCACTCATAGAAGTGGGCCTTGGAGATGGACAGGAAGCTGCAGTCCCTGTTGGCCTTGATGGTGAAGATGAGCGGCTCCCCGGTGAGCACCGCCAGCTGGCCCACCATCTCCCCGGGGCGCGTGAGGAACAGGCAGGTGTCCTCCTGGCTGCCGATCTTCCTCTGGTACACGTGCAGCAGCCCGGAGACCACGAACAGGATGCTGGCGTCCTGACAACACCAGAGGGCTCAGGAGGTGCCGTGAGCGGCCGCGGGCGGGACGGGGGCAGCTCTGGGCCCAGAGCGGACAATGCCACCAGGCTCGGCCGGGAGACCATCCGCCGACCTGACCAGCTCTGGGCACAGACTTCACTGGAAACATTTCAGCAGTGTCTACGGTTTCGTGATTTCACAAGCAGTGGTGGGAAATCTGGGTTCTCGAGGGCTCCGTGCAGCGAGCCGGGCCTCGGATCTGCACGCCTTCTCTCCCGGCACCCACACGCATACTGACTGTCCCCAGCAAACACACGTCAGCCCAGCGTTCCTGTGCATGGCGGGTCCCACATTGCCTCGCCTGGGGCCCGGCCCCTCCCACACTGAGCCCCTGCACATGCCACACGTTTGGGTCCCATGTCTGCAGATGTGCCCGTGAAGCCCCTCCGAGGCCACTTCCACTGATCTGTATCCACTGTGACCTCTTATGGCCTCTTCCCAATCTGCCTGCCCAGCCCACTCTTAGGTGCGAGTGGAAGGGCCAGTGCGGCAGGAGCCAAAGGTGGACACTGAGCTCTCGGGGCTCAGGGCTGCCTGAGGGGAGGGGCTCTGCCATGGTGCCCAGAGGGGCAGTGGCCTGGTGCTGGGACGTCCCCAGTCACTGCTGCCCAGCCCAGGCCCTCCTCTGGTGTTCCACCTGGCACTGGGCTGCGGCATTGGGTGGTCCCAGTGCCCCCCCGGACCCCCACTCACCTGGTCTCCCTGCCTTGACACCACCGTGCCTGCAGGAACGTGGAGAAGCACCACCCGGCCATCCAACAGAGATGAGTCCTGAAAACAGAGCAGGCTTCAGGGAACACGGGCGGGAAGCATAAATGAAGGTCCAGAGAACAGAGGCTGCGCTGGGCCCTTCAGGGGCAATGAGCGGTGAGGCCAGAGGCTGGGCAAGGCCCTCCTCCAAGGCTGTCCTCCAACAGCGGCCTGACGGACACGGGGCACCCTGCAGAGCCACCAATGCCAAACCAGGGCATCGACCCAGAGACAGACACCAAACAGTGCAGCAAGGCAGGAAATTAAGAAACAGACACTCATATTTTTGTGAATTTACGTAAAAGAGGATGTCATTTCAGGGAGAAAGGGTGATTTCTTTATAAGTGGTGCTGGCATAGCCAGCAGTGGGACGCCTTCTCCACACCACCTACAGAACGACGCCCTCCAGGGCACGAGGAGTCTGGAATCTGGGAGCTCCCAGAGGTGAGCCGGGAGTGCCCAATGCACTTGAACCCAGGAGGTGGAGGTTGCAGTGGACCCGGAGCCCGTGGAGAGGCCCTGGGGCAAACCAAGGGTGAGGGAGCATCTGCGGGTACCACAGCCACAAAGGTTCAAAACATCAGGTGTATAAACCCCTAGTCCACAGTGATAATGAAATAAGAAACCCCACCCATCACCTCAGAAGATGATGGAAAACCAAATCATTAATTTAAACCAAATCGTTAATTCAAACCAAATCGTTAAACTTCCCAAACCCTGATGGTGAAGGGAGTGAAGCCAGTTTCCCCCAAAAAAGAAAGGACATCTCACGTCTCCACAAGTGTGTCAAACAGGACGGAGAAAGAGGTGGAGGGGATGAGAAGAATCTGAGCAGCCACGTATCCAGCTCTCAGGCAGACGATGGCCACTGACAGGGAGGCCGCACCGCCCCAGGGCGCGTTGTCAGCCCGAGCAGCTGGGAGGCTTGCAGGAGAAGAAAGCGGCCTCCGTGATGCAAGCAGCTGCGCCAAGAAAAGTCAGAGCCTTCGGGAGACGAGGGGGATGTGGGAGACGAGGGGGACGTGGGAGACAAGGGGGAAGCAGGGGATGAGGGGGATGAGGGGGACAAGGGGGACGAGGAGGACGTGGGAGACGAGGGGGATGCAGGGAACGAGGGGGATGTGGGGGACGAGAGGGATGCAGGGGACACAGGGGATGCGGGAGCCAGCCATGATGTGGACCACACAGTGGACTGTGACACGGACGAGGCCACTGGACAGGGGGACACTGACCGCACGGCTGAAGCCATTTGGCCGTTTTAAGGATTGCTGTTAAGTATTCAGAAATGATAAGAGTGTGTGGTTAGAGATGAATCCTGAAATATCCACCAGTGACGTGCTATGATGATGGGATTTGCTTCGAGGGTGGGCACCTGGACGGTATGGAAGGGGTGCAGAGAAAACAAGGCGGGCTGTGGCATGACCGCTGCCGTGAGGGCTGCCAGGTACTCACCTCCACATATTATTCCATCTATTCTATACAGCTTTGAGTTTTCCCACAACAAAAAGCTGTTTAAAGAGAGAGAAGACTGGCTGGGCACAGTGGCTCATGCCTGTAATCCCAGAATTTTTGGAGGCCGAGGCAGGTGGATCACTTGAGGTCAGGAGTTTGAGACCAGCCTGGGCAACATGGCGAAACCCTGTCTCTACTAAAAATACAAAACTTAGCCAGCTGTGGTGGCGAGCCAGTGGTCCCAGCTACTCGGGAGGCTGAGGTGGGAGGATCACTTGAGCCCAGGAAGTGGAGGTTGCAGTGAGCTGAGATGGCACCACTGTACTCCAGGCTGGAAGACAGAGCGAGACACTCTCCAAAAAAAAAAAAGAAGGAGAGAGAGAGATTTTTTTTTTCCCTTCAGGACAGAGTTTCGCTCTTGTTGCCCAGGCTGGAGTGTGGTGGCACAATCTCAGCTCACCGCAACTTCCGCCTCCCAGGTTCAAGCAGTTCTCCCACCTCAGCCTCCCGAGTAGCTGGGATTACAGGCGCCCACCACCACACCCGGCTAATTTTTGTATTTTTAGTAGAAACAGAGGTTCACCATGTTGGTCAGGCTGGTCTCGAACTCCTGGCCTCAGGTGATCCACCTGCCTTGGCCTCTCAAAGTGCTAGGATTACACGTGTGAGCCACCGTGCCCGGCCAGAAAAGGAGATTTAAGAGATAGATCAGCCAACTGCAGTTTATGGCCCTTACTCAGATCCTGATCTGTACAACAAGAAACCACTGAGAACCACTCCCAACAGTCAGGGGCCCAGGAGCGCGCTGGGTGGGTGAGCAATCAAAGCTTTTTAACATTTCACTTGCAGAACGACACTGTGGTTATGCCTCGAAACGGAGTCCTTAACCGTTAGAGAGGAATGATGTGAAACTACATCAGGTTTGAGATTTTTCAGACAGAAAATAATTGGGGGAGGGACGAGGAGTACAGTTGTAAAGTGATTGGCCATGATTGGTAATTACGGAACTAGGTGACTGGTGCCTGGGAGCTCACGACACTATCACGGCTGCCTTTTTACCTATTCAAAGCTTTCCATCAGCCAGGTGCAGTGGCTCACGCCTGTAATCCCCACGCTCTGGGAGGCTGAGGCAGGCAAATCATTTGAGGTCAGGAGTTCGAGACCAGCCTGGCCAACATGGTAAAACCCCATCTCTACTAAAAACACAAAATTTAGCTGGGCGTGGTGGTGGGCGCCTGTAATCCCAGCTACTTGGGAGGCTGAGGCAGGAGAATCGCTTGAACCCAGGAGGTAGAGGTTGCAGTGAGCCGAGATCGTACCACTGCACTCCAGCCTGGGCAATATGGCGAGACTGTTGTCTCCAAAAAAAAAAAAAAAAAAAGGTTTCCATCATATGTAAGAAATTAAATCCTAGATGAACTAATGAAGCTGAGAAAATATCATACTCTAATAATCTGACACTGTTATTGCTGTATTAAATATAAACACAGATGAGAATTCTGAAGTCCAGCTTTGGGACACCGTGATGTCCCAGAAAGCCTCAGCTTTGAGTTTGAACATAAGACGATCTCAAGCTGCTGGCTTCCCAAAGGGGGACCCCAAAAGACAACCAAGCCTGCACTCCACCCGAAGTGCCCCCTTTGCAGCCACCGTCCTCCACACCCGGAACCACTGCCCAACAGAGGCAGAGAGGAGCCCACGGTCCCTGGGTGGGACAAGGGCCAGGTGCCCGCCGGGGCCACTCACTTCCAGCTTCATCAGGGTAAGCAGGTCCTTCTTGGCAGCTCTGAAGATGGCGTCCGACTTCCTGCTGGCCAGGGTCTCATCCGCGTGACTCTCTGAGTGGTGGGAGACCGGGGAGGGCATCTCTGCGACCATCATGTTTTTCTTGGACTCGAGAAGAACAAAGATACCAGCAATTAGAAGGGAGGTGGTTGGGGAACATCGCACAACGGTGTGGCCGGGTCTGACTCGCACAGTCCAGAAAGGCCGGCTGAGCCTCCTGAAGCTGCAGGTGCCAATGACACCAGAGCCAGCAGTGCCGCCAACGCACCAGCGAGCCACAGAGAGGGCAGGGCCCCAAGAGGAGGGTCAGAAATGACAGCCAGGGCCTACCTTGCTGGCCATGGAGCTCCCGGGGTACTCGTCCGAGTGCAGGAAGACCCTGGCACGGTCACATGCCATCCCCAGATCGGAAGTGGCACTGGCTGGGCCCCCTACATGCAGAGGGGACACTCAGGACATGGCTCGCTGGGCCACAGGCTCGAACACTTCCGGGGTGGGCTGAGTGCACCCTGCAGTCTAACCGCTCAAACCCCGGCAGATCCCTCGAGGGAGTCGGGCCCTGAGATCCCCCCACCCCCTGCTTTCTTTCGGCATCTGCCTCAATGGCTCTGTGGCCAGCAACTACAGGTTTTCTCAGCAGCTTAAACCCACACGGTGCCTTCAACAGTTCTGGGCGCTGATAGAGGTAGCCCGGTCAGTGCCTAAGACACTGAAAGAAACCAGCCCTGGCCCTGAGCCAGATCCATCAAACCTTCCCGTGCATGCCACACCCTGACCGCTCGCTGCGGGCATCCCTGTGTAGAGCCCCCTTTCTCTCATTGTCCATCTCAAGGATGCTGCCGCCCTCTGTATGTGAGCTCCCCTAACAGGTGCCCGGGGCCGTCACGCTGGTGCTTGGGGCTTGGCTCTTTGCAGTCCCAGCCCCATCTCAGAGGGAGAGGGTTGAGGCACCCCTCCAAAGAGCTCCCCTGTTGCTGCTTTTGGGCAGCCTCGGGCTGAGCGGGATGAAGCAGTGTGCACCCTTTCACGGCCCGCCCTCAGCATTACACAGCACTACACACACAGCGTATCCGGCCTCTGGACCAGCTGCAGTGGATTCTGAGGAAGGGTGTGCGGTTTGCACGACGGGGTCACGCATGTCCAGGCACGGATCCAGCCCTGCGTGTGCAGCTGCACATGTGAGTGAATCATCTGCGCTGCGGTTTTCCATCCAAACTGTGGAATTCGCAACACCCATTTCTCAGCGGAATACAGAGGAACCGCGCAGACACTAACCGCGGACACGTGCCACACAGCTGCCGCTGCCACGTGGCACTGCAGGAAGGAACCAGGCCCAGGAGCACAGCCACGTGCCCCTCCCTGGGAAGCTGGACACGGAGAGACAGGAGCGCTGGGCTTTGGAAAGGGGCGCGTGTCTCTGAGGCTTACACTGAGGGTGCACGGGTCGGGTTTCAGGGAGCTGCACCCTGCAGCCCGGTGCACTGTGCTGTGTATTACTCATGCCCCCATCAAGTCCTGCTGTTTTTTAAAAATCCAAACTGTAAACCAATCTATGGCAACAAAGGTCACCAAGGCGGGCGGATCACCTGAGGTCAGGAGTTTGAGACCAGCCTGACCAACGTGGAGAAACCCCGTCTCTACTAAAAATACAAAATTAGCCGGGTGCAGTGGCGCATGCCTGTAATCCCAGCAACTTGGGAGGCTGAGGCAGGAGAATCGCTTGAACCTGGGAGGTGGAGGTTGCAGTGAGCTGAGATCGGGCCATTGCAGTCCAGCCTGGGCAACAAGAGCGAAACTCCGTCTCAAAAAAAATAATAATTAAAAAAAAAAAGAAATAAAATAGTCTTTGGAAAATTTATTTATGACTCAGGAATAAGGAAAGAATAAATAAGACCCAAAACACAAATCACAGGTGCCAAAGCAAAGGGCTGGCTTTCCACAGAGGAACATCAGGGTCCCTGTTGCATCAAGGTCCGAGGCGGCATTTTCCAGCCCACAGACAAGAGGGAAGAGAACCTCCAACAACCGAAACCGATGAGACAAGAGGGAAGAGAATCCCCAACAAAAACTAAGGAGACAAGGGGAAGACAATCTCCAAAAATGAAACTAAGCAGGGATCTCTACCTACAGCACATAAGGAATCAGCACAAATCAACCAAACTCCAGAACTGCAGAAAGTGGGCAGAGAACAGGACCGGACAGTCTAGGAGGGACGCCCAGATGGAACCGAATGCAGCAGGAGCCCATGAGCTTGCTGGTGGCCGGCGATGGCAGACGGCGGAGGGGCAGGTCTGCGGCAGGAGCATGGCTGCACCGCCGAGCAGCGTGGACTTGGGAGGCTGCCCTGAGAAGGCCCTGGCCCCGTGGCTGCGGGCGGGTCCCCCGTGTGTTGGGGTTTTGCTCCACGTCAGTTACAGCAAAGGTCCCTGCGGGGAGGCACAGGGCAGCAGGGCTGGGGAACGAAGCACGGGCTTGCTAGAGACCCAGCACGCAAGGCGGACGCAAGGCAGGAGAGGGACCGTGCGGGGAGGGTGGGAAGGGCCGAGCACATGGCTCTGCAGGGCGTCTCGTGGCACCGGCCCAGCCCGGGCAGTGGTGGGGGTGAGACGTGGCGGGGACGCAGAGGAGCACACCAGGGTGTTCTGGGCAGCAGGATGGCCACCAAGCCTCGACCCCAGAGCCAGAGGGCAGGCACAGGCCCCTCTGGGCATGTGGGACTCTTGTCCAGCGACAAATCAAACCTAGCGGAGGACACCCGCCTCGGCGGCGATGCTGGGTGTCAGTGCAGCTCAGCCTGGGTCTCAGACGCTGAGGGCCTGTGGGCCACACCGGCCGGGCAGCCGTCGGAGGTTCTTTACCTTGTGGGGCTGAAGGGTCAGCGTCACCTGCCTCGGGCTTCTCCAGCTCGTCCAAGATCTCTTTGCGAACAGAAGGCGCAGGAACGGACTGGCTCCTCTTCAGCAGAGGCCCAGCAGCTGCTGGGCGGCCGCCCCTGTGATCTGCTGGGGAGGCAGCCGTGAGCAACCTGGGTCTGCACGCACTCCCTGGCGTCCCATGCAGCCCAGTCGGGGCCACGCGGGGAGCACGGTCCCCGCAGCAGCAGCAGTTGGCGTGCCCCACAGTGCCCTGCGCCCCTGCACGCGCTCTGGACCAGCCCTCAGGCCACCTGGCCATCTGCATCTGCTGGGCCAGCCGGTGAGTGCAAACGAGTGCCAGCCTCTGACTAGCCCTGGCCCCTCCCTGCCCCAATCCTCCTCCCGCCACCTTAATCCCCCCTCCCCAAACTCCTCCCCCTCCCCGACCAAGTCCCCCTCCTCCCCGGGCCCTTCACCCCCACGCGCTGGCAACCCTCCTCCCCCAAATTCTCGCCCTCCCCACACCAATCCTCCGCTACCAACCTCTCCCCTCCCCACCCCAATCCCTCCTCCCCGCCGGCCCCTTGTCACCTCCCTCTCCCCGCACCCCAATCTCTCCCGCGTCCCCCAACCTCTCCCCTCCCCCTCCACCCCCTAATCCCTCCTCCACCGTCCCCCCGTCCACCCCCATCCCCCTATCCCCTCCTCCCCCCCCAACTCTCCCCTTCCCTACCAATCCCTCCTCCCCGCTCCTCCCCCCCTCCTCCCCTCCCCCCAATCGCCCCACGCCCCTTCTTCAAGCCCTGCTCTGCCCTGATGCTCCCCAGTGTGGCCGCTCGAAGTGGCCGTGAAAGGGCAAATTCCATCCACAGTGGGGGCTGTCCCGGCCAGCTTCCAGGCGTGTGCCTTTGGTGGATTGCAGCTGTCTGTGCGCTCAGCTGGTGGATGGGCTCACGCAGGCCTGCATCTGGCCCCCTCGCGGTTGGAAACAAGGGGATAGGAGCCTGGTCCTTTTGTCCGCCCACCACACAGGCTGAAAGGAGGCTGCCCTGCCTGGACACTGGTCCTTACCTGATAGAGGCCCAGTGAGCCCTCCCCAGCCCTGGTCTCTTGCCTAGACCCCACCCAGGAAGTTTGGGACAGCTGCTGGCCCACCAAGTCACACGCGGGGATGCCTGATCCACGTGAGAAATGCCATTCAGCAATGGAACATACTCTAAAATGCGACTTCAGGGCCAAGTGGCCAGGCGGCTCACACCTGCTCATCCAACTCAATTCGCGAGGCCAAACGGGCTGGGGCAGGGATCACTTCAGGACCAGGGACGTTCGAAGACCAGCCTGGACACGTGGCAAGATGCCATCTTTACAAAAACTTAAAAAATGAAACTCAATGAGCTGGGCCTAGTGGCACGTGCCTGTGGACCCAGTTACTCAGTGGGCTGAGGCAGGAGAACCCTTTCAGGCAATGAGGTGGGGGTGGCAGTGAGCCAAGGTCGCACCACCACACTCCAGCCTGGGCAACAGAGCAAGACCCTGTCTCTATAATAATAAAAATAATAAAATAATAATAATAATAAATGCATTTCTGAGAAAAAGCACATCAGCCAGAGCTGTGTTTAAATGTGGCTGTGACCCTCACGGGCTCCCAAGCGTGGTGGACGAGCTAGGACGGAATGGAGTGAGCAGAGTGGAGTGAGGCGAGATGGCAGTGAGTGGGGATAGGAGTGGATCGCGAGTGGAGCTGACGTGGGGGATGGAGTAGGAGAGTGGAGTGAGTGGGGGTGGAGTGGACGGAGTGGAGTGAGTGGGGGATGAGTACGGAGGTGGCAGATGAGTGGGGATGGAGTGGATGGAGTGGAGTGAGTGGGGGATGAGAGTGAGGAGAGTGGAGTGAGTGGGGGACGGAGTGAGGAGAGTGGAGTGAGTGCGGGGATGAGTGAGGAGAGTGGATGGGGGATGGAGTTGATGGAAGTGGAGTGAGTGGGGGATGGAGTGGACAAGTGACGTGATGGGTAGACACTGGCAGTGGGACGGAGTGGAGTGAGTGGGAATGGAGTGAGCAGTCTGGCGTGCTGGGGAAGATGATGGAGGGAATGGAAGTGAGTGAGTGAAGGAGTGGACGGATGGACACAGTGGAGTGAGTGAGGGACGTGACGGAGTGGACGACAGTGGAGCTGTGAGGAGGTGACGGAGTGGACACAGTGGAGTTAGTGAGGGAGTGGACGTCGAGCTGGACACCAGTGGAGTGAGTGAGGAGTGGGACGCAGTGGACACCAGTGGAGTGAGTGAGGGAGTGGATGGAGTGGGCCACAGTGGATGCGTGAGCACTGGACGGACGTGGACGGAGTGCGAGTGCATCGACGGAGTGGGACGGCGAGTGACCACAGTGGAGTGAGTTGAGGGAGTGGATGCGAGTGGACACAGTGGGACGTGCGTGACAAGGGAGTGGATGGAGTGGACACAACCAGGGTGAGTGAGGGAGTGGAATGGAGTTGGACACAGTGGAGTGCGAGTGAGGCAGTGGATGGAGTGGGCACAGTGAGTGATGAGGGAGTGGACGGAGTGGACGGAGTGGAGGGGCGTGAGGGAGTGACGGAGGACGGAGTGGACACACGTGGAGTGCTGTGAGGGGAGTGGACGCAGTGAAGAGTGGAGGGCGTGAGGGAGTGGAGGGAATGGACGGAGTGGAGTGCGTGAGGGAACGTGCGCGACGGAGTGGACCCGATGGAGTGAGTGAGGATGGACGGAAGGGATGAGGGAGTGGACGGAGTGAGCAGAGTGGACGAGTGGACAGCAGTGGAGTGAGTGAGGGAGTGGACGGGTGGACGAGTGGAGTGAGTGCAGGGAGGAACGGAGTGGACGGAAGCTGGACACAGTGGAGTGAGTGAGGGAGTGGAGGGAGTGGACAGTGGGAGTGAGTGAGGGAGTGGACGGAGTTGGACACAGTGGAGTGAGTGAGGCGTGCGATGGAGTGGACACAGTGGGTGAGATTGAGGGAGTGGGACAGGAGTGCACCAGTGGGTGAGTGAGGGAGTGGACGGAGTGGACACAGTGATGCGTGGGGGAGTGGATGCGAGTGGACACAGTGGGAGTGGCGTGAGGGCGGAAAGTGGAAGGAGTGACCACAGTGGATGCTGTGAGGGAGTGCACGGAGTTGGACACAGATGGAGTGAGGAGGGAGTGGTGACGGAGTGGAGTGAGTGAGGGAGTGGACATGAGTGGACACAGTGGATGAGTGACGGAGTGGCGGAGTGGACCACAGTTGGAGTGAGTGAGGGAGTGGCGGAAGTGGGAGTGAGTGAGGAGTGACAGAGTGGACACACCTGGAGCCGTGGACGGGAGGGACGGAGTGGAAACAGTGGAGTGGAGTGAAGGGAGTGGGACGGAGTGGACAGTGAGTAGAGTGGACGGAGTGGACCACAGTGGAGTGACGTGAGGGAGTGACGGAGTGGACACAGTGGATGTGCGTGAGGGAGTGGACGGAGTGACACAGTGGGTGGCGTGAGGGAGTGATGGATGTGGAACAGGTGGATGATGAGGAGTGGGATGAGTGGAACAGTGGAGTGATGAGGGAGTGGAACCCGGAGTGGACACAGTGGAGTGCGTGAGGGAGTGGATGTGATGTGGACACACAGTGGAGTGCGTGAGGGAGTGGACGGAGTGGTACGGAGTGGACGTAGGACGGGAGTGTGGAGTGCACACAGTGGAGCTGAGTGAGGAGTGGACGCGAGTGGACGGAGTGGAGGGAGTGGACGGAGTGGAAGGGAGTGGAATCCAGAGTGGACGGAGTGGACCGGAGTGACGGAGTGGAGGGAGTGGACGGAGTGGATGGAGTGGACGGAGTGGGAGTGGTGAGGGAGTGGACGGAGTGGAGTGGAGTGAGGGAGTGGATGGAGTGGACACATGGAGGGAGTGACGGAGTGGACACAGTGGAGTGAGTGAGGGAAGTGGATGGAGTGGACACAGTGGGAGTGAGTGAGGGAGTGGCGGAGTGGAAACAGTGGAGTCGTGAAGGGAGTGACGGCAGTGGAGTGAGGAGGGAGTGGACGGAGTGAGTGAGTGAGGGAGTGGATGGAGTGGACACAGTGGGAGTCGAGTGAGGGAGGGACGGAGTGAACGGAGTTGGAGGGAGTGGACGGAGTGGATGGAGTGGACGGAGTGGAGTGAGGTGAGGGTGAGGGAGTGATGAGTCGGAGTGGGCACACAGTGGGGGAGTGACGGAGGTGGGACACAGTGGAGTGAGTGAAGGGAGGTGGCATTGATGTGGAACACCACGTGAGTGAGAGTGAGGGAGTGGACGGGTGACACAGTGGAGTGCCGTGAGGGAGTGGACGAACGGAGTGCAGTTGAGTCGAGGGAGTGGACGGAGTTGGACGTGGTGAGGGAGGTGACACAGAGTGACGGAGTGGACACAGTGAGTGAGTGAGCGGAGTCGAGGAGTGGCAAGGAGTGGACACAGTGAGTGAGCGGAGTGACGCGAGGGATGGAGTTGGACACAGTGGAGTGATAGGGAGTGGACCGGACGGTGGACGGAGTGGAAGTGGTGAGGGAGTTGGATGGAGTGGACACAGTGGGAGGGGTGGACGGAGTGGACACAGTGGAGTGAGTGAGGGAGTGACGCGAGGGAACCGGAGTGGAGTGAGGAGGAGTTGACGAGTGTACGCTGGATGTGAAGGGAGTGGACGGAGTGGAGTGAGTGAGGGAGCTGGGCGGGAGTGGAGTCGAGTTGAGGGAGTGGATGGAGTGGACACGCAGTGGAGTGAGTGAGGCAGTGGACGGAAGTGAACCGAGTGGAGGGAGCTGAACTGGAGTGGCGATGGAGTGGACGGGAGTGGAGTGACGTGACACGGGAGTGGACGGAGTGGAGTGAGTGAGGGAGTGATGGAGTGGACACAGTGGAGGGAGTGGACGAGTGGACACAGTGGAGTGAAGTGAGGCGAGTGGATGGAGTGGCACATTAACCAGCTGGATGAAGTGAGGGATGGACGGAGTGACACAGTGGAGGTGCGTGAGGGAGTGACGGAGTGGAGTGAGTGAGGGAGTGGACGGACAGTGGCAGAATGCAGTGAGGGAGTGGACGAGTCGGACGGAGTCGGACACAGTGGAGTGAGTTAGGGAGTGGACGGAAGTTGGCGGATGGACACAGTGGAGTGGGAGGGAGTGGCACGGAGTGGGATGGAGGGACACAGTGGAGTGAGTGAGGGAGTGCGACGGAAGTGAACAGGAGGGTAGTGGAGGTGATGGAGGACACGTGGAGTGAGTGAGGGTGGAATGCGAGTGGACCGGGTTGGGTGAGTGA